AAATAATTACAAATAAAAATGGATCAACACTGTAGCTCTAATACTGAATAATGTCCAAGTTCTCTCCCTTCCATACAACCCCACACTCAACTGATGAACTCTGGTGGTGTTTCAGTGTTCTTCACACAGATGGCATCTTTAGGCTCCATTAGGGGAAACATCTCTTTTAAAAAAACCCTCTCAGGCTTTCTTCAGATTCTGGGACTGCGACTCTCAGATGTTGAAAGATCTCCTTATTGCCTCACTAAGTATATGCCTACAGAATCTGGATAATTTCTTTATCATTCTAAAACAACTAAGTCAGACAATATAGATAAAATTACTGCTTCACCTCTTAGTAGATGAGTAACTTAGCACAAATTGCTTAACTACCATAAACCTGTTTCCTCATTTGAAAAAATGGGACTCACTCGTATTTAAATTTTCTTTGCAAAGTATTATGAAGAAAAGCATAATAACACATGCAAGATACTTCGTACAATGTCTCTTACATATTGAGAACTCAGTAAATGTTACCTTTACCATCCGGTGTCCATAAACGTATATACAGTAGACACATGGACACATGTGTTTATATACAGTTACATGGAACACACTGGATGTAGACACAGATATGAAAAAAAGTCATCTCCTAGCACTTAATGCAATTAAGGATGAACCAAGACAGAGAACACGAGAAGAAAATCTGGCTTGGGGTAGAGGCAAAAGAGACAAACATAAATAATGGAATGACAATGAGTTCAATTTGGGGTCTATTCAGTTGAAGTTCCTGGAAATATCCAAGGGGACTCTGGATAGCTGGGTATCAGGCTTCAGCTACCCTGACCACAGAGTGCTCAACACACAAATAGTGGTTAAGATGTCGGGCGCAGAGAAGATACTCAAGGGAACCAATAAAGTGAGAAAAGATCTGAATCTCAGAATGAAATTGGGGAACACCAACATTTACAGGAAGGCAGACACAGAGCATCCCTTGGAGAAAGTTGAGCATAAGTGAATGTTGTCATGAAATCCAAGAGGGAAAAAGAAGGATTTAAGAAGAATGGAATGGCCACTTGTATAAAATGATGACAAGAAATACAGAAGTAAATAGTCATGAAAGGAAAGAGATGATAAAAAAATGTGAAAGGTTGAATAAAGGATGCTGCGATTTTGCTTGAACTCTCTTAAGGCAATTCATCCAATTCTCAGATGGCATAAATATCCATGTGCCTACATGCATAAGGCCAAATGTTAATCATGTAAAAATAATAATTCATGAAACGTATAAATGTACAGAGATACAAAATAAAAATAAGTCAGTGTTAATTCTGCCATAGATTCCTCTATCATCCTCTCCGAAGAGGTAATGAGTAGGTGAAGGGAACTGGGTTAAATCTGAGATCGAAAAAAGCATTTGTCATTGTTGACTGAGAGAGATGCAACTCTCCTTCAACTCAGAAACTGACTCTGTGGTGGCCAAAGCAGCTGCTCTTGTTGAGAAAATTAGATTTTAGCACCCAACTAAAAATCACAAGAATGAGTATTGTCAGCATTCAGATAAATCATATTTATTTGGAGGACAGTGTGGACCTTATGTCAGGCACCTCTCATGCCTAATTGAAGGGTTCACTCTTTGTGACAGTAGCACTATCACCAGGAAGAGTCTGTCAGAAGCCATTAGATATATGCCTGAACTAGTGGTTCTTAATCAGGGGCAATTTTGCTCCCCTGCTCCCACCTCATTCCTGCCAGAGGGCATTTGGCAATGTCTGTAGACATTTTTGGTTGTCACGGCTGTTTCAAAGGAGGGGTCTCTGCTGGTATTTGGTGGGTAGGCATTGCTAAACACCCTAGAGTGCACAGGAAGCCCTTTCTACTCCTTAACAAGAGATTACCCATTTTAAAATGCTAATCGTTCCAACATTGAAACAAATTCTAGACTGAATGAATGATGCATGTTCAGTTTATTCCAAGGATTTTATCCAAAATTTTACATTTATATTTCATCATTTTCAAATTATTTATACATGTAGGATTTTGTTTTTCTCTCATATATAATGAAATGAGCATAATGACCCATTTTACAGTTGAGGAAACCAAGGCCCCAAAAGATTATAAGACTTTCCAGAAAGCTAACTTGTGTCTCCTCAGACTAGTAGTCCTCCTACTAAACAGAGAATGATTATTTTGTGTGTAAACATAAAGCTTTCTAGACACTCTGAAAAATAACAGACTGAATTTTGAATAGGAACTATCCTTCTATAATTGAAGACTTTCAGATATTTATTTTACTAGCAAGTTACATAAAGGAAAGCACAGCTCCAGAAGTTCTACACAAATGTCGCCAAGATCCACCCCAAACTTGGCTGCTCTGAGAGGTATGGCAAAGTTGATCCTGGTATTCACAAGGCATTAGACATGCTTATTAGACAAAAATGGTTTCACTCCTGGCTATGCTTTGTTCCTGTCCCAAGCTTGGTCAAAAGAGATACATGGCTCATCTCAAGGGCAAAGCAAGCCATGAAACAGTTTATACCAGAACGTAACTTCATGTTGTGAGACACTTAGCAACACACTTAGCAGCATCACATGTGTGATTCGTCAGCTTAATTGCAAAGCTGACTCTGACTCAACACAAAAAGTCCTGTGTGGGAATGAGGACACCAAAAGTTACCAACTTGGGCCAGAAGCTGACCAGGGGGCCATCAATAAACTAGGAATCTATGGATTCTCCCCATTCATGTCTATCAAGACAAAAGATGGCAAAGCTAAGATGACTTTATAGACCTACCTCAGACTCTCAGGAGAAAATGCCTTTTGTTCATTGAGTTTGTTTTGTAATGAAACTAAAAAAAAATCACTTTGGAGACCAAGAGATATTAACATTCACACTCAATGTTCAAAGCATCCTTTCCCTTTCTCCCATCAAAGAATGTGCAGCTCTCAAAGATCATACCTTTGAACCTACACTTAAGGCTTACTAAATATACCTACGGCCATACTATTTCCCTGACACACCATATGGACATTCATATGTGGGTCATGACTCTGATGGGACCATGCAAATAAGTTAGCCCTGAAGTTACATAGAGAGCAACACAACTGTCAGTAACTTTGCTATTCAGGGTGGTGCATGGCATCACCCGAGAGCTTGTTACAATTGTACAATTTCATTCCCATTCTGACCTCAATCAACAGTTTAACAAGATCCCCAGGGGATTCTTAGCGCTTTTCAGTTAGAGACACACGCTGTCTAGAACTCAGTCTACTTCCCTAAAACCCAAGTACCATCTTGTGTCTTTGAAATTACTACCTTTGTTGTTGAATCCATGTATGATTCTGTGGGGTTAACATACCACCCATGCTTTAAACGGTGGCAGATCTGACTGAGGCTCGAGAATATTTACATGTGCTTACGGAGACATTCATGAAACAGAACTGAGTGGCCCCCATATCACTCTAGGGACACTCTGCTTCTTAAGGGGAACCATTTTCAATAAACAATTACACCTAGCAATTTTTTTTTTTGAGAGATTTTCATTGTAGGGCGCGTGCGCTCGCCAGACAGACAGAGAGAGACATAGAGACAGAAAGCGAGAAATCACCCCCCCAGGGGGGATGGTCACGCCGCAATCCCTTCTCCTCCATTCTCCTCTCGGGATCTTGGGCACGCACGCACACGCGCCCAGCGTGAGTTTTAAGCCACCGGGTCCGGGACACGAACCGCGGTCGACTATGTGGGAGTCCAGCGACATAGCACACTTAAGGCTTACTAAATATACCTACGGCCATACTATTTCCCTGACACACCATATGGACATTCATATGTGGGTCATGACTCTGATGGGACCATGCAAATAAGTTAGCCCTGAAGTTACATAGAGAGCAACACAACTGTCAGTAACTTTGCTATTCAGGGTGGTGCATGGCATCACCCGAGAGCTTGTTACAATTGTACAATTTCATTCCCATTCTGACCTCAATCAACAGTTTAACAAGATCCCCAGGGGATTCTTAGCGCTTTTCAGTTAGAGACACACGCTGTCTAGAACTCAGTCTACTTCCCTAAAACCCAAGTACCATCTTGTGTCTTTGAAATTACTACCTTTGTTGTTGAATCCATGTATGATTCTGTGGGGTTAACATACCACCCATGCTTTAAACGGTGGCAGATCTGACTGAGGCTCGAGAATATTTACATGTGCTTACGGAGACATTCATGAAACAGAACTGAGTGGCCCCCATATCACTCTAGGGACACTCTGCTTCTTAAGGGGAACCATTTTCAATAAACAATTACACCTAGCAATTTTTTTTTTTGAGAGATTTTCATTGTAGGGCGCGTGCGCTCGCCAGACAGACAGAGAGAGACATAGAGACAGAAAGCGAGAAATCACCCCCCCAGGGGGGATGGTCACGCCGCAATCCCTTCTCCTCCATTCTCCTCTCGGGATCTTGGGCACGCACGCACACGCGCCCAGCGTGAGTTTTAAGCCACCGGGTCCGGGACACGAACCGCGGTCGACTATGTGGGAGTCCAGCGACATAGCCATTATGCTAACTGCTGGTTCCCCACCTAGCAATTTTTGAAACTGGAGGAGAGAGGCAAAGAAGGAAGAAGGGCCATCATTATAAAACAGAACAGTCTTGCCAGTTTTCTTCTTTACCATTATTTATTGGTTTTCTACTTGTAAACTATTAGGAGAAAAAAAAAATAACTCATTTCTATAAGCTTTATTTAATCCACGGGGATTTAGACAGGTGAGTCCATTCAGGAAGCCAAAACCAGACTCAAAGGACATCACAGCCTTCACCAGTGAACACAGGTGGTGCTGTCTCGGTTCTTTTCTAATGAAAACAACAACCCTGAGATTGCAGATTCCTAGGGGACCATGGCAGCACCTGCTGTCACCTCTGGGGAAACAACTCTATTCTACATCTTCTTCTTCCGAAGATGTTTTACCCTCTTCTGATATTCATGTCATTATTGAGATTCAAGAAAGACAAGACAGACCCACCTGGAATCTCCGCATGTCACGTGGGTTTCCTGCATTCTTTAGGCAATTTTGGTTACATTTGAGAAAAAATTTCAAGAAGAACCTGTAAAAAACAAAAAAAGAAATGATCCTGATTAGTATTTCAGTCCTCATAGGGGAGGGGAAAAGGGAGTGAGTTGATTCTGGTTATGCATTTTCTGCAATAATCAAAATGTGTTAGAGCCACTGTTTCATGCCTTTGTCTTGGATCCAAGCTAGACCTTCTTTAGGAAAGGAACACTTTTGGTACTGGCAGCAGATCTCACAAAAGAATTAACCCCCAAGGAAGTATTTTGCTCAGAGGGAAAGTCTTTACCATAATTTAAGATAGGTTTCAATTGGATATAATTGTCTGAGAATTACTGATGGTCCCCAACAACAAGTAATTTTAGCCTTGCAAACTCACAGATGATAAATTACCAAAGGACCTCATAGATGAATAAAAGGATATTGTAAACACTTTATCTTAACACCTCCAAATAATATGTTTTCGTTATTGGGTTGTCGGGAAAGTCATGATGCATTTTTGCATAGAAAAACATGCCATGACTTCCCCAACAACCTAAGAGTATCCTTGTAGGTAAGATTCACATACTGTCTACACTTCTCAGACTTCTTAAAGATCCCCTTTTTCTGACACTGCCTGGTATAGGAAAAAGCTATTTGTGACTGAATAAGGATCTTCCTACCTCACCATGGTTTCTGAATTGGTTCAAGAATTGAGACATTGGGTTTTACTAATTAAGGTGACTAAAAGTTTCAATTTGTCTAGAAAAATCTCAGTTTATAGCAGCAGTGTTGGCATAAATATTAATAGTATCGACTTTAACTCTCAAAAAATGTCCTGGTATGGTTGATAAATTATATGGTCACCCTATAGCATTCTGAGTTATTTCTTATATAGCCATCAGAGTTGCCAAAGTTCATCACAGGAAAGCAGCTGGAGTGAGAGGGGTAGGGGGCCACAGGTAGCTTACTGGTTAAGGCACTGAACTCCCACATGGCCCACTGAGCTACTGTGGTTTGAGTCCCAAACCCAATGGCTTGAAAATCATGCCAGGTGCATGTGCATACATGCCCAAAATCCTAAGAGGAGAATGGAAGAGAAGGGATTGTGGCTTGGCTGTCCCCTCCTTCTCTCCAGGGAGGTGATTTCTCACTTTCCCTCTTACCGACTGTCTGTCTCTGGCAAGTGCATGTGCCCTATGGTAAAAACCTTTGAAAGAAGAAAAGAAAAAAAAAAGAAAAGAAAAGAAAAGAAAAGAAAGGAAAGGAAAGGAAAGGAAAAAGAAAAAGAAAAAGAAAAAGAAAGAAAAAGAAAAAGAAAAAGAAAAAGAAAAAGAAAAGAAAAGAAAAAAGAAAGGAAAAGCAAAGCAAAGCAAAGCAAAGCAAAGCAGCTGGCATTAAAGTTGCCATATTGAGCATTCATGTGGACCACCAGAAATTCAACTTTCCCATTCCCTATGTTTCAGAAAACAAAAAATTTCTAAAGCCATGTAAGTTCTGCCATCCCTTTTACTTTTAGGTCCAGATGTGTCTGTGGATTTCAGGTACAAATATTCTCCAAAAATACCAAAAGGCATTAAAACATTGATCAATTAAACTCTCATAGGAATTCTTTTTCTTTTACTTTTTCCCCCATGCTGAGTCTATGCCAGAGTAAAATTCCCACCTCACTACACAGAACTTGTGAAGAACTGTCACCTTATGATGTTCAGTCTGAATTTAGCACTGAGTACACTGCACATCAACCACGACACTGGGTGCCTCCCGGACAAGGGCAGCCCACGAGAAGATCCCAAATGGAAGCCATGTCTGATTTCTGAACGAAGCCACGTCTCAGAAGAACCTCTCCCCTCCCTGCTCTAGAATCTGTCAAGATGCGAGTATGGTATAGGAATCATTCTTTAAAGAGAAAGAACTTCTTTAACTGAAAGAACAATGTTATAAAACATAAACATCACCCTAAAATGGCTCTCTCAACATCACGCAGCTTTCTTCTGCCCGTTCGTGAACTCAGGCTTCTGGATAATCATTTGTCCCCATGTCTAGGATCTTTCCAGAGACCAAGTTCATCAACCTCTCATGCAAGGTGAATGGTCATGGAACCCCACGGAAGCCCAGCTGTGCTGGGTGGAATCTGTGGCACTCAACCTTTCTCCAGTCCAAAAGGCAACATGGTCATTAGGTCAACTGGACTGTCACTAATTCAGGTCCTCTTTCAGGAGGGCAGACTTGTGAAAGGAAAGGGGTTTGAGCAAGTGGCCAAAATCCTAGGCTCCTTGCATTGTCCTCTGAGCTCTCAGAAGGCAAGTACTGGGTAGCCCCACGATCACACGGGGTTTTCTGAAACAATTCAATGTGTGGAGCTTACAATAGAGTACCCCAAGTTGTAGGAGTTCAAATCTACAACCAAAGACACCTGCAAAGTCAAAACTGGATGCTTCTTTTGAGTACAGCTAGTGGTAAGCGTATAGATGAAAGTCCCCTGAAGGCCCTGGAGAGGGCTGATTGCCACTAATTGCCAGTGGTGGTTGTTGTGGTATGGCGGGACAGCCACAGTCTTTAGAAATACTCAGAATGCGGGACCAACAGATGACATAGCAGTTACTCTCACATGGCCAACCATGGTTTGAGTCCCAAACTTGGTGGCTTTAAAATCACGCAGGGCATGTGTGGATGTGTGCCCAAGATCCCGGGAGCAGAATGGAGGAGAGGGGATCATGGTGTGGCCATCCCCCTTGGGTACGATTTCTCATTTTTCCTTTCACTGTGTCTGTCTGTCTCTCCTGCAAGCACACAGACCCTATGGCAAAAACCTCTTTAGAAAAAAGAAAGAACGAAAAAAAAAGAGAGAAAGAAAGAAAAGAAGAAAGAGAGAAAGGAAGAAAGAAAAAAAGAAGAGAAAGAAAGAAAGAAAGAAAGAAAGAAAGAAAGAAAGAAAGAAAGAAAGAAAGAAAGAGAAAGAAAGAAAGAAAGAAGAAAGAGGGAGGGAGAGAGGGAGAGAGGAAGGAAGGAAAGAAATACTCAGAATAGGGAGGGCCAGACAGTGGTACAATGTTGAAATTCAATGTTGTGGGAAGGTTCTAGGTTCCCATCCAGAGACCTCCCTGAATATGCTGGGCAAGCATGTGCCCATGATCCGAGGTGACTGAAGCTGGGAGTGGATCATGACATTAAAATTATGTTGGGGTGCTGTCTCTCTGTCTCTGTCTTTCCCTTTCTCTTACTCATAAAATAATTAATTAATTTAAAAAAAAAAAACTACCCAGAATGGGATTTACATTCTAACTCTGCTAGGTACTACTTATCAACTTTGGATAAGAAGCAGGATTCCTCTGTTCCACACTCTCCTTATCTACAAGCTGGATATAATGTTAATAGCAGACCCTAACTTCTAAGGCACTTAGGAAAATTAACTACGATTCTGTGTGGTGTCTGAATGGTAAGCGTGGTGATGGTGGCAGTACTAACAATGACTTCCCATTGGGTGCTGACCTCATGGTCGGTGCAGAGCTAAGAACTTCCGATAAATTCCCATTTAATCTCTCCAAATCATCTCTGCTAGACTACTCCCATTTTAGAGATGAGAAATTGAGACTCAAAGAAGTATTAATAGAACAGCCTGTCCGAAGGTGAGTAAATACAAATTTAGATTCAAATTCAGAGAGGGCAGCTCCAGGGCCGTTTGTCGCCACCACACTTTAGTCATTTTAGCAGCCATAGAAGTGGCACATAATGATCTTAGTACTAATTGTACCATTGATAGCAATTGTGGTGTGAGAGCAGTTGTCTAAGAAGAGTGAGTAAGAATAATCATGCCCAAAGTAGCATGACTATTTCCACAATGGCAACATGACTGTCACGGAGGAAGGTGTCATTGCCATTCTCCCTCCAGTGGGCCCCCTGCCTGGTTCCCCAGGGTTGGTAATATTTGCCGCCTGTGTGTGTTTAAGCCATTTGAGCCCAGACCCGACAGCCAGATTCAGGTTGCGTTAGAAGGAGCTGTCAGCACACCCTCTGGCATCTTCGAGTCAGACAACTGCTAGCCACCATGAGGGGGTCCATCTGGTGCCAAAATGGATTTTGAAAGACAGGCCAACAGGACGCTAGCTTTGCCAGAGAGAAACAGAATCAAGGGAGCAGAGGATCTTCTGCCTCAAAGATGAGCGGGGAGCGGGGGAGGCGCCTGTCAGCAGCCCATCGTTAGCACAAAAGCTATGCTGGGCACACACCGGATCCCTGTTACCCTAAGCTGCCCTGTCACTTGGCATGCTGGCAAAGTCCCCTGCCCGCCCCCTCAACAGCAGATCACTTGCTGAAATTGAAGGCTTGACCATCTGTCGTGGGGAAGACACGGCCGTCAACTGGTGCCTGGGGCCTCACACAAGCCCTTATGTGGCTAAGACGCTCTGAAGGGCCAATTCTTTTGGGGAAAGCAGCCCAACCCCAGGGGGAGCCGCAGGAATTCTTGCAAAGTTTTCCCCTAAGTAGAAGCCAAGTGTCTGACCCTTTCGGATCACACTTACTTAAAGGAATTGAGAAGAGTTAGGACGAAGAGTTAAAAATATCCCCACTGAGAGACAGGGTTAGATGCAGCACACAAATTTGGAGATGATTTATCAGGTTAAGTGTAGAAGCCATTTGAAAATGGGGGTGGGGAGGGATCACACGTGCACATCTGCTGGCCCACGGAGAAGATCTCAGATTCCTTGGGGGCTTTTCACAAAGTGGAGGTTGTTGTAACTCAAAACCTTGCTTTTGTCTAATGAATTGCTGCATTTTGTGTGGCGAGTGTGTTTGATAAAGTGTTGTCAGGAGGAAGAGTGTGGCGGTCTTACCCCAACTGTGGGAAACTGACCCACAGCAGGACAAAGCCCCTATTGACCCTGTAGCTTTCCAAGGAGTTCCGTAAACTCCAGGAAACAGCTCACTGGGATCAAACTTCTTTTTAACTCAAGCCTTAACTCAAGCCTTTTTTATTTTTTTTTAAGAGGGGAGGGAGATGGCAGGAAACACTACACCATTCTGTTAACTTTCAATACGAATAGTATCATCTTATGT